TCTATTCTGCCTGTGGGAGATGTCTCTTGTCACCTCAGCAGAAACTAAAAATGTGGGCACAGGGCTACACAATCTGATTGACTGTGTATTCTTTATACCACCCTCCTCCAAAAAAAGCCAAATGGAGCGCCAGAAATTCAGTCCGCCCTAGATCTTAAGTATCAGCTCTCAAGCCCCAAATAAAAATCATGGGAACTGAAACATCTCTTTACAGCCAACTATTAATAAAAGGCTCCTTGTGCACAAGAAATATTTGTTAAAGTAAGTCTAAAATCAGCAATTATTGAACTCGATCTTCCATAAATGTCAAATTCTTCCACTTAGCATCAATGGTTTATAAAGTCATTTTGTTTTATTTCTCTTTGATATTTAAGTCAATGAAAATGAGGAATTTCAATTAGTTCTCATTTCAGGGAAATTACTTTTAGGGATCAAGTGAGTATATTTGCTAGGTGGTACTAGTGGTTCCAAAGAAAGGTCTCCTGGCAAGTGCTGGGCACTCTCCTGTGGGCCCTGACCAATACTCTCCTCTCAGGGCCCTATGCAAAGGATGACAATGACATTTCAGCCCTTGAAAAAAGCCACTGTGACAACCACTATCTTACACTCTGAGGAAGGCTGCTGCCTGTGCTCACCACTTCCAAACTCTCATAAAATGTGTATTTAATATGGAAACTGACACATCTTTCAGTGTTGTTACAATGTATCTTTTTCCAAGACAGAGGTGCCTTCAAATGAGAAGAAATCTACGGGGGGAGGAATGGGGGGAGGGAGTACATGAGGCACAGTTTTAATGTGTGTAAGGCACAGAGGCTGCGGACTTGAATATTTTCTTTAATTACTATACCAGTATAATGTTTCCTTCTTTCTTACATTAAATAAGTGGCTCCTTTAAACTTTAGTAGGGAAGATGAATATTCAAAACTTCTATAATGAGCTTACAGTTTTAAAAAATCATACAACAAAGGCATAATGATAAAATTCTGATAAGATATAAATACTTTTAAATATAAACAGTGGAACTGATGGGTGTACTTTAATATACATAGATCTGCTATTATGTTGCTTTCCTAGTTCCACATACAAAACATTTTTTAAAAACTGTGGTGTTTCCATATAGAAGACTCAATATAAAGTATAGCTTGTTGAATGAATGTGCCCTATTTCTTGAGTTACATGCTACTAAATGAACACTAATAGTTTCCTAATAAAGTATTTCTCCTCTCAAAAAAAAAAAAAGAAAGAAAGAAAGAAAAAACTGTGGTGTTTCCAAACTATACACAGCCATTGTGTAAGAGAAATTCAATAACAGCCTCTCCATGTTTGGAGATAAGATTATGGCTGGAAACTGTCCACCAGAAAAATCAAAGTGAGATAGGAAGAATCAAACAGATAACCTACTGACATCTTGCCCATGTGAAAATGTAGTAGTCTTAATCTTTTAGACTTCTACAAAAGAGGATGCCTCTATGGAAAGCCCGGAGATTGCTTTAGACTCTGACCAGTTTAAGGAAGGCAACCCATTACCAAGGTCACAGGTCACTGCAGTTCAGTAGCACTGAGCATCATCAAGATCACAGGGCCAACCCTTGGTTAAACCATCCAATCGAAAGTTTCAAGTTATACTTTGTCAGTCTTTAAAGGAATTTCCCCAAATCAAGGGCCAATGAATATCTTGCTGTTAGATATTTGATCTATACACTAATTTAGGCATCAGATTTGGGTCAGGACTTGGCTCTGTCCTTCACCACAGTCACCTGCAGCAGTCCAAGATACCTGACCAAGGCTGGGCCCACATGATACTTCTTTCTTTGAGAGGGTAAGGTGAAAATGAGGGGAATTCTGTCCTAGGAAATGCCACCTTGCTGCTACCATAGCCTTTTCTTTCTAATTTTGTTCTCACACGAAGAGTCTCAGAGCCCCTTTAAGATGTCAAAAAAATTCAGTTAGCTTCTAGACACAGCATCCATGATTCTACAAAATGCAGCAAAACTGTGACTAAATGAACAAGAACTGACTCAGTGACAAACCAAGTAGTTTATCAATGTTAATATGTACCTATCTATTGCTCTTCAAATAGGACCAGAAGACAGAAAGAGCAGTCAGTCACCCAATCAAGTACACATTCATTTTTCAATTGTTTGTTTAATCAAACTTATATTCTGTATCTTTCTTTAAAAGTTTCTTTATTTAGTTACTTATTTAAAGGGCATTTATTTATTTATTTCCTTATTTATTTTTGATGTTTCAAGACAGGGTTTCTCTGTGTAACAGGGCTAGCTGTCTTGGAACTAGTTTTGTAGACCAGGCTGGCCTTGAACTCACAGAGATCCATCTGCCTCTCCCTCCCAAGTGCTGGAAGGCATTTATTTATTTATTTATTTATTTATTTATTTATTTATTTTTACTCTTTATTCTTTTGGATTTTTGCTCTTTACTCTTTGGCGGATTGGAGACCCAGCTCCCAAATAAATACACATGGAGACTTATTGTTACTAATGAATGTCCAGCCTTAGCTTAGCATGTTTCTAGCCAGCTTCTCTTAAATTATCCTATCAGCCATTTGCCTCTGGGCTTTTATCTTTCTCTATTTCTGTACACCTTTCTTTACTTCTTCCTCAGTAGCTTGCTATGTAGCTGGGTGGCTGGACCCTGGTGTCCTCTGCCTTCTATTTCTCCTCAATCTCCCTTCTCTCTTTTTCTCCTTCTATTAATTCTCTCTGCCTGCCAGCCCCGCCTATCCTTTCTCTGCCCAGCTACGGCCCATTCAACTCTTTATTATGCCAATCAGGTGCCTTAGGCAGGCAAGTTTATTTTTTTTATATATATATAATATATATATATATATATATATATATATATATATATTGTGGTGCTGGCACCTGAACAGACCGGATGAGGGAAATGGATCCCTGGAGCTGATGTTACAGATGGTTGAAAGCTACAGTGTGGGTGCTGAGACCCAAACCCAGGTCCTTTGCCAGAGTAGCTAAGGCTCTCAACTGCCAAATCATCTGCCAGCCCTATATTCTTGTATTTAGTTAACTTTTAAGAACCATGATCAAGTGACAGGAGTTCTTTTATTGCTTTCTCAGCAATTTGTGACTAAGGATTATCAAAAAGATACATACATGGCAACACTCAGTTAAGGAAACATATGACAACTTTTGAATTTATTTTACAGTTGGAATTGGCATAAACAAGCAAACACATGGCAAAGACAGTGATTAGGAGAAATGCTGTGTTATGCAGACACCTGTGTAGCTGGAGCTGCAGAAGAATTTTTATTTGGTTAACATAAAACTAGAATTGAAATCAGTTACTGAATTTCAACCAATTTAAATAAATTACTTGACCTACAAAAGATGTAACCCTACTTTTCTCAATGCAGCTGCCAGACATCTATTTTCCAAATGGAACAACAGATGGTTCAGAACAATATGCTGTGCAGCAATTTTCAGCTATTCCCGAGTGTTTTTCTCTTGCTAAAATTATAAGTATAATTGAGAAAGCCAAGTTCAGACTTTTGTGAAAGACTCTGCTCTTTCTGGAGTGTAAACCAGAGTTTCATACTCCAGTGATGGTTTTAGCGTTGTCTTGAGAAGTTTGCTCTTTGGATTTCCATATGACATGTGGCAAGGGGTAACTTTTCCTTTACTTTGCCACTGATTAATGATTTGTGAGGCTTGAAAACACAAAACCATGTCCTACTCACAGTGTACATGTAATTGAAAACTGGATCTCGTTGGTGGACTAGGCAACTAAATGGAACAGTTAACTTGGGTGAGGCACCTCACATCTATACTTCCAGGACTGGGGAGCCTGCTATAGGAGGAGTGTCAGGAGTTCAAGCGAGCTCCAGGCCAGGAACTCACTGTGAGAGCCTGTCTCCCTGTCTCCTGTCTCCAGAAAAAAAAAAAAAAAAAAAAGTCAATTAAGCCCAAGGCAATTGATACTTTTAAACCCAATACCTCTATAAACTCCGTGTGACCTTTCAGATACAATTACCTAATGATTCTTTTGCTGTCCTTGCTAGATGAGTCATGTTCCTACACACAATTTAACTTAGAATGTCTCCAAGGTCTCTTTCTCCTGGCCTTTTAACTCCTTGGTTCAGTGCTCTGCACTGAAGTATGGACTTCTATCTACCTCACTCCCTCTCCTGTGTGGCCGTGTAAACTTGAAGTCCTTTGGCTTTTCTAGGCCCTATTGTGGTCTTCACAGCACAACTGTAGTTTCCATGAGAACATGCTGATGATGCATAAAAAAGTTATCTTCTGGCAAGCTATGGTGTCGATAACAGTGAGAGAATTTCTCTGATGCGTTCAAACTTTCCATTCCTTCCATGCACAATTCTTTTTCTCAGATAGATCTCGCTGTGTCACAGCAACAAATTTAAAATGCAAGTGTATTAAGTGTGCAAGCACTGAGAGTGTATTAAGTGTGCTGTGGAGGGTTAAGTGTGACTGCTTCAAACTTACACAGACCGCTATCAAAGCATCTCCAACCAAGACCCAGAGCATCTGGCGTGTGTGCTCAGGTTCCCCTGCCTTCGTCTCACTGAATACTGAATAATGACTTGACTCCAGGAGCTAACCTTATCTGATCCCGATTTCAAATACCCTGCCATAAACCATATGGTCAGAAATTGGATCGCTCTCAGTTCTTGACAGTGCAGAGCTAGTTACTGGTGACAGCCAACCATCTGTAGTCACCCATCTCAGTCTCCCCAGTAAATGAAAACTAAGTTAATTTTGGTGAAAGAAAGAGGTGAACTTTTTAACAACCCCTGGGGGAAAAATCAGGATAATAGAGTAATATTACAAAGTCAATGTCAGTCATCAGTGTTCTGTATTATCAATGACTTTGTACCCTAGCAAGAAAGCACAGTTAATCAACATAGATTACTTCTGCATCCATCTAAGTATTTACCACTAGTGAAAGCACTTGTATATTAATTGGATGGCTACAGTGAGTGAGTTTTCAAAAGAAAGGGTTACCGCTAAAGCCTGGAGCTCTCTTGTTTCTTCTTCTGCCGCCGATGCATGATAGGACAGGACCTGTGGGTAAGACAGGAGTCCAGGTTACCCAGGCAGGACGACCGATGCACATATAGTTTGGAATATTGCTCCGACTTCTTGGAGAGGCAACAAGGCTCCTCTGAATGCCAATTCCTACTCCTGGCTTTCATCAACACAGTGAAACCTCCATTGAGGGTCCAGTGTGTGTGCCTGAAGTTATGCTCCTTAATTTTATAGAAAGTCCTGAAACTGTCACTCTGATGCTGTGGACATAACAGACACATTATCTACAAGTCACTCTAGAAATAATCACTGGCTCACCCATGGCAGCAAGTGTTTATTTTGAACCGTTTTTTTCAGAAATGTACTTCTGTACAGAATAGGGGAATAAAACTCTTGCATGAATTGGAATATTTAAGTTGCTAGTTGTAATAGATACATATATGTATATACATATATATGTGTACACACACACACACACACACACACAGTTCTCAGGTGAGAGCTGTAATAACTGCCAAATTCATTCAGAAAATTGCATGCTCTTAGAGTCTACAAGTCAAGGGCAGTGTAGATTAAGCTGTCACAGCAGTTGAGGACACCTGGGCTATTAATCTCACAACAGAACCCGGACCCAATGCTACCTTAAGGTCGGGCTTACTTTAAATCTTCTAACTTGAACCAAGAATCATAATTCTCATTTTCAGAAATCATAACTTCCAAGGAATGAGGAACTATTTTAGATATTCCTTTTAAATGAAAAAAAATGTGGTTGTACTGAATGGTTTATTTGACACTTTAAAAGATTTATTTTAAAGTTCTATTTGACAGCGGCAACAATATTTACAGCTGCCCCATGAAACCAGCTGGATCAAGAGCTTCAGGATCAAAGTCCACGGACCACTGCTTGAAAGAGACATGACTTCTGCCTTTCACTGGTTGCCTTTATTTTTTCTTCCTTACTTTCAGTTCTCTAAGACTGGCAAGATTTTCTGTAAGCTTTCTTTACAGGTACCCTCATGGAGAGACATAGGAGGAGGGCTGGATAAACGGGGAAGGGACTGCTCAGGGACGGTGTGCAACTGTGGGAATGGCTTACAGAAGGCAAACACTATGCAGAAGAAGGGGGGGGGGATGGACGAGAGTCTTGGTCATCTGAGCCTTGGCAAGAGTCCAAATATTTGGAATCTCCTTTATTTAGCTTTTAAATAAGTATACGGATATCATTGTGAGAATCCCGTGTTTTCTGTGGGGCTCCAAAGCCAGAACACACACATACACACAGTACATTGACTCAGCAGATCAAACCCCTCAGCTTCATCCCACCTCTAATGTCACCATTTGCTTGGCCATGGCTCTCTCCACCGCTTCATACATCTGTGTGTTCTGGATCCCCAAGCCACAGAAGATAACAAAAGCTTCCAGGAACTGTTCATCATTTTGATTGAAAGGTTTAATCTTGCCAGTATTCTCCTCCATCTTATTGACAAGTTGGCAAACTCCTGTAACAATCAGAAAAATTAAGCAGTCGTGACTGTTAGTCATCACAGCTCCAACCAACCTTAATAGCCACCCCCAAAGATTGTCTTGTGGTTTTTCTCTTAGAAATGCCTGGTATGTCCAAGTAAGGATGTGGACTTCTACAAACAAACCTAGGAAAGTAAACCTGATTAATTTACATGAGCCTTACTTTCACACAGCCCTGCATGTATATCATCTATGATTCAAAAAAAAAAAAAATCCTAGAGAACCTTACTTTCACACAGCCCTGCATGTATATCATCTATGATTCAAAAAAAAATCCTAGAGAATTATTTTCCTCCAGATTGGTCATGAATTTTAGATCGAGTCCCCAAAGACAATTTGTCCTTTGGAAACTAATTGGATTTTTGTCCATGTGCCAAGAGAACAGTTTTGATGGAGATTGGAGTTTCGGGTCACACAGTCTGCCTTCTCTTACTGAGAAATCGGAGTTTAAAAATACAATTACGTACAGAATAGAATACAGAAAATAGGCAAGTCACACAAGCAGCTTCAAATACACCCTCAGGCATCCAAGATAATCACATGTGAGGAAATAAATACAGGTACACTGACAGTTTTGAAGATAAAAGCAGATCTAGTCCCTAAAGAATATCATAACCTTCCTAGTTCTGCCCTCTAGCATCGGCCAGTAGTTGCACAGTTAGGCAAGAATGGAGGATTGCCATAATGTTACAATAAATTTCTACTTGGCTGGTGCTGCTGTGGATCCTGTGACTACAGAATGAGGCCGCTGCACAAGGAGTTGGAATACATGGTCCACCATTGAGTAAAATGTGTTGTTGACATTTTTATCACTTTGTCTCTAAATACAAGACTTCCTGTATGTACAGGCCCACTGTGGGACAGGCACTGTGCCGGGTACTTGATTAGACACAAAATCACTGGTCCTTGTGATTTTCCTTGTTAAGTTGGTGGGTGAGGCCTTATAGGAATGAGGAAAGGGTTGTTGCATTTACTCACAGTCACACGGCACACACACAAGTCTGAAATCAGCCGAGGCCTTATAGGAATGAGGAAAGGGTTGTTGCATTTACTCACAGTCACATGGCACACACACAAGTCTGAAATCTGCCTTGGCCTGCTCCTAACTTCATTCACATGCCACAGGATCGCCCACACCTCTGCCGTGGCTTTTCCGTCGACAGGGACAGCATCACTGCCCATTGCTCTCCTGCCTATCTTGCAGGTGGAGCCTGCATGTCCTTCACAACGAGGCCCTCAGCCTGCCACCTCACACACAGGGCAGGCGCTTCTCTTCCCTATGTTAACAGTAACATGTGGTGAATAATGGCAGATTTCACGTCTGTGTGTCTTTCTTAGCTGTAAGTATGTTGGGCTTAGCACTCCCTCCCCCCAATTCCATTTTCTCAGCTAACAAAATCCCTGGCAGAGAGTAAAAACTTAAGAAAACAAAACGTTGAATTAATGAAAAGATGCAGTACCCCAGCTCTGACCCGAGGTACTTTCCCATGGAGATTATATTGACGATTAGCCCTTATTTTTCCTGGAGCACAAAAGATTTCCATGGTCTGTGCTGACATCTGATTACATATTAATCCCCTGTCACCATGGTTGCACACTCTCTTCATTTTAACACTGCAAATGATCTGGACTCTGCTTTTCATTTCTGTTTGCCGGCATACATACGTGTGTGCTTTCCTGTCTGCATCAGTGCAGGGAACCACCTTTCCAACACTATTCTATCGTGAACCCAAACTTCGAACAAGACCCGAGGAATGTGGACAATGCAAGCAAAAGGACATGCATAAAATATCAGTCAGCACTCGTTCTCATAACAACGCACATCCCGTATTTGGTAACAACACAAGGGTTATGCTCCATCTTTGCAGCTCCTCATGTTATAACTACGGGACCGTTTATATAGGCTCTGGCTGTTTCCCAATTGGCATTTTTGGGAGAGTCATGTTTTTCATGCTCTTATGCTCAGATTACAGTGGAAGTGTCTTTCAGTTTTTATAGACGTCATCTTCGATGCTCAGAAATAAGATTTGCAGATTACTTCCTAACAATTCCTGCAAGCACACAAAGGCAAGTGTGATGGGGGGCGGGGGGAGGGGGCGCTAGGATGTGCACATCAGGCAATTTGCTAAGCCGTGCCCTAATTAAATCTTTTACATAGTAATTCAAATCTGTCCTAGCTAAAATTCACTGAACAAACATATTCAGAGGTATTAATGGATCTGGAGAAGTAGCACAGTGGTAGACTGCTGGCCTAATATATGCAAAGCTCTGGGAAAAAAAAAAAAAACGTGGGGGGAGTATTAAATTCTACCTCTGGAGTTGCTCAAAAATTATTAAAGTGGAATGCCAACTGAATATTAAGTCCACTATAACAAGCACAGCCCAGTGAAGAACAGATCAAATGTGCCTGTGTTACAAGCCACCTCCACAGGTGCAGAAATGCAGAAATCAGCTCCAGGGCAAGAAAAGGGTACTGAAGACAAACGGCCATTTAAGCTCATAATTAAATTCTCTCTTGAAAATGGGCTGGGCAGCATTCATGCTTAGCTCACTGATCTCATTAAATCCTTCTGAAAATTTAATTATAGCGAGCAAAAGTACATGGGAAGGTTTATAAGAAACAAATGGAGTTCCTCTTAGAGAAAAAATTTAAAGCTTGGGCACATCTATAGATTAAATTTTCGCCATTTCTCCACTAATGATCCGTGAGAAGAGCTAAGCAATGCAAGGATGAAATGTGGGCCGCTTGTGTCTTTTAAACTGCTATGTAGAACCAAAGACACAAGAAAAGTATTTCATGAAAACCAAATAATAAATATTATCATAAAGTAAAATAATTCCCAAACGCATATTAGGAGGAAAATTGAAGCAGTAATAAAACCAAACAGCAAATTATCAGTGTCCCCTAATGTTACTAAGGAGCGGACGGTGGAGTGTTTATGCAGACTTCACCTCCTGTGGCCACTGCAACTGTAAGAGCTGGCTAGCTCCAAGGCACCTCTGGAAACCACACTTCGGATGCATATGAAATCCTGTGCTGCTTCCTTTCTGTAACTCTGGCCCATAAATGTGGGCATCAAAGTTAGCATCTAGTCTTAAAATAAGAAAAAACCCACCTTAACACTAATCTTACAATTTTTAGCCCTGGCTGTCCTAGAACTTACTCTACAGACCAGGCTGGTCTCCAATTTAGAGATCCCCCGTCTCTGCCTCGCCAGTGCTGGGATTAAAGATGTATGCCACTATGTCTGGGTGTTTCTACACCCCCCCCATAATTTGAGGTATGAAGGTTTAAAAAATATATACAAGATTTAATCTTGTTCAAAAAATCTTTCATGCTTATTTTTGTCAGTCTTAATTCAGGAACATTTTTCTAAACAGAGTATCCAAAAGAATAATATTAAAGAGAAGTAGCCAATTTCAGGCATTGGGTTTTTAATTTGCAAGCCTATGGCGTCTGGCAAGGGCACTGTCACCACTGAGAGGGTAATACCATTTAAGCTGTATAGGAAAGCGGCTACAGGATGGACTAGTGTTAGTTATCCCTCTCCATACCCCCTCCACTCCCCTGCCCTGCAATCCTGCAACCCATGTTCCATTAGTCCGTCTTCCCTTTTTATAACACTACACTTCCTGAAGAGTCTGTTATTTTAAGGGTGTGGCCCTTCATAGGCTGATCACATTCCAGAGAATGGCCCCACACTCAATAATACTGGAGCAACATAAGTAGGATCACATGGGTTTAAAAAGAGAGAAAGAGAAGACATGGAGTTGGGTAGGAAGGGAGACAGGAGTGGATCTGTGATGAGCCTGGGGTGAATATCATCAAAATATGTTGTATGAAGTTCTCAAAATTAATAAAAGTATTTTAAAAGAGTCATCTTCCAAGGCATGGTGGTGCAGACTTTTAATTCCAGTGTTTGGAAGGCTGATCTCAGTGAATCCTAATGTTCCTGGCTAGCCAGGGCTACAAAGTAAAACCATGTCTCAAAAAAACAAAAAACAAAAAACCTCTTCCCCCAACGGCCCCCACCCCAAAAATAAGAGAAAAATGTGATATTTGTCTTTCTGGGTCTGGATTGCCTTGCTCAGAATCAGTGCCAAGAAGTAGTTACCTCTTCTGGAGTTCAGGACCAGTGAGTCAAAGGCTAATGCTAACACTCTTCATTGCCTTTTAGATAAGACCCTGTTGCTGAAGACACCAGACACTCAAGTCATAGACATGGAGTAATCAAGGTGGCACTGACCTGGAAGCTGCATCCCTATTGGTTAACTTTAAAGTACTGGAAGGTGCTATACTTAGTAGTATAGAAAAATAATCATCAACATTACCCAACTATGAACCCTGTGAGCTACAGTAACAGTTGGCCTGGAAAAATATGTTCACTAGTACAACAGTGGTACCAATGTCATAGGGGTAACCAACTATTTTCCGATTGGGTTTAAAGCCTGCCATACAAGTTGAAACCTATACTTAGCACCATTATTGAAATCAGAACTCATAGCTACACAGATTAAGGCCCTAAGGGAGAAACTAGTACTTTTCCTCTGTCAAGTGGATAGAATATTAAACTGACTCCTAACAACTTACCACTATGCTCATAGATTAGTGAGTCTCTTAATTCTCATGAGAGAAGAATCTTTTCGCAAAGATGGTGATTAACACACCTATTCAAAATGCAGAATGTAAGAACCCTGAATGGGACATCTATACCATACACCCCCCCCTCCCAAGGTTCAGGGATCATTGTGAAAGAGGGAGACAAAAGATTGTAAGAGCCTTAGGCAGTGGAGGACTATAAGGAAACTGTGTCTGCTGGAGGCAGCAGGGCAGTTGAACATAAGAACTCACAGCAGTGGTGACATAATGCACAAGATCTGCACAAACAAACTCGAGCCAAACATAATCTTAACATCGAGAGAGGAGGTAGATATGAAGTCCCAACCCTAGTTAAAAACCTATTGATAAACTGAT